TCTCTAAAAGGCTTTCCAGGTATGAAATCTCTGTAGTGAATACAGCATTTCAAGGCATTCTTTTCTTCTAAAATCGGAAGTAGCGTCTTCTTAACCCACTCCTCGTCCGCGCTGCTGTAAATGATGAAAGCGTCAAATTGAAATTCCGGATCGCTAACGCCTGCAATAAAATGGAAAGTCAAAAATTAAGTGAGAAAAGAAAAGTGACCATCAATGCTGCTTTCTATTCTATACTTTAACTTGTTACCAATATCTGGTAAAACGAAAACTAAATGATAGAAAGATGAGACGAAGTCCTGAGGCGAAATAAAAAAAAAGGGGGCATGTTGTCTTGAACCCTCGGACACACAGGCAAATTCACCAATCAAAAAACTATTGGGTAAACGGTTAAAGGTTTCGGCACATAGATTTCTTGGATGGTGGAAAATATAAGAAAAGGCTGGCTGATAGTTGCCTTCAGCTGGGGATCTTTCCCAGAGTCTGGGAGTTAACAAGGATTTACCTCATGGGAAAGGAGTAAAATATAAAATTCACGCCGTGGAGAAAGACACAAAATAAACTGGAGAGCTAACAAGCCAGGGAGGATTGCTAAGTATATCGATCATCAGATCATGTTCTTAACCAAGGTTTTCCAAATTAAACAGTCACGTACTTTCGACCCCAAAATGGTTCTAGTCATTGTTGACTCGTGGAAAGTAAGTTTTACGTTGAAAAGTTTCGATTCTTGTTGGCGGCAAGGTGAGGGGTATCGATCGATAACAAACAGCAAGCTTAACCCGGAAACCCGTCAACTCTATGCCCTTAATTTTGCTTTCTCTAGCGAATGCAAGATTTTACTTATAAAGAATTTAACGCCGCCGGTTGGAAAGCCGCGAACGCCGAGTTCTCATGCAAACCAGTCCGTACTTAGGCCTTGGTATCGAAATGAAACCATGCATTCTTCAGTCTATAAAAACACTGAAATATGAAACAAAGGTAAGTTATGTGCTTGTTTATGTTGTCTTTTAAATGATGGACTAAATGAAAACCTGGCTTTTTCAGAGCAAAACAACAGACGACCGAATCAGAAACTGTGAGCTTAATTCTACTTAACTAAATTAAATCTAGCAGTAAAACGTGTTCTTGACAAGACTGTTGTGAAAAGCTTGAACATAACATTCGAAGCACTCCTTGAAAGCGCAATGATTGTTAAAATCACGACTCTATATTAAAAGTGGACAATGTGTGTTGTCAAGTTCACGCGATGTGAAACAAGTTGAAAATCAAACGAGTGGAATTCAAAATTTTCAGAGGGATCCTCACAAAAAATTTTCTCTAAACGAACAATTGTGAACGAACCTCACTTTCTTATTTACTTTTCCAAAACAAATAGCATGTGCCCGATTACAAACATTACTACCTCGAGTCTGATCTCATACTATTTGCTCCATGAACAATTTTCTCTTTAAGCAAAACATGGATAATGCATTAACCCTACCTTGATGAGGAGTCATTTGTCACAGGTAGTCACATGACCAGCTGCAACCAGGGTTTTTTCGCGAGGGGGGAAGAGGGAACCTAGGGAAAGAGGTTGCGTACGTACGTCCGTACGAACTTTCAGAGTGGGGGTACAGCAGTTGCGACTCTTAATGGAAGGGGACGGGGGAGTCTGAGACATCTATTTGTCTTAGCGAAACGTTAACCAGTTTACCTATAGGGAGCTTATGGAGATGTTTCAGTAAAAAAAATCTTGAATCTTTGGTCACGCTACAGATTAGTCAAAGTGTTGACGACTGTATTCATGCGTTAAAAAAAAAAAAAGCATGCAGCGTCTTGAAGTTTGTTTGCCGACAACTGAAGTAATGTGAATATTAAAGTTTTAAACTTTTATGTTCTTTATTTAGAGCTTGTTTATTAAACAATTCATCACCGCCATTCTCTGTTTTCACTGTCAAGCCACCAAAAATAAAAATGCAAACCACACAATACAGAAAGTCCAGAATCTGGGAAATGGAAGAAGATTAATATGCAAAAAGCTACCCTAAGAATCACGTCTGTACGATATTTCATATGCGAGATATTCGGAACAGCATTCTACTCAAATTTAGAAGGCTTTGTATGGAAACGCTATGTGGGTGTTACTTTGAGGGGCACAAATATGGCCGCCGGAAACCAACAGAAACATCTGTTTTTGAGTTTCCATACTTTTGCGTGAATTCATCGCCTAAGGAACTCATAAAGATTAGATAGCAAAATCTCATAAAATCAGTAACGTTTTTAACCCACATAAGAGCTTTCCTGTCCGCCAGCTAAATGCCGAGTCACACAAAAGCTTGGAAATTCAAACGTCCTCTATCGCGAATCAAAGAACCCTAAGGAACCGAAAAATTGTGCAAATAAAGGTTTTTAGGTGCTTTTACCTCACGAAAGTAGAAACTCAAAAGAATCGATAGTTTCTTAGTCTGAATTTTGGCGACGTCATGGGAAATCCGAGAATTGAAAATATAAGGATAAAACCGAAACATTTAGGAAATAGTGGATCTCTCTGGGAGGGATTTGGTCATGAATTTTTGGTGGGGACGCTAAAAAAAGAGAAGAACTAAACCTTTGGACATGTTGGAAGACTCTGGAATCAATTAAGAAAACTATTAACTTATGGAAATGGCGAGGCCTATCTCTTATAGGCAGGATACAAAATGTTAAAACCTTTGCCATCCCTAAGCTTATGTTTAAAGCATAGGCTATTTCAATCTCTAAGGACCTCTTGAAAGAAGCTGAATCGATCTTTTATCATTTTATCTGGAACAGAAAGGACAAAGTAAAGCGCAAAGCAGTTATTTCAGAAGTTGAGAATGGTGGCTTGAACATGCTTGATACTGAATCCATGATTCGCACCAAGCTAGTGATATGCCTACAAACATTTTTAGACTTGATAATGTACAACTTAACCCTGAACAAAGTTTTTTCATTATGAGTGTAATTAATTCAATGCTAGCAGCATGGCGTTTGTTAATTCGAACAGCTAATATTGCACCAGTCCTTTCTCCTCTGCCGAATACACCAGCTATTTTAATAAATGATATCTTAATTCTATTTCTTGACGCTTCTTCAAAACACATCTATCGGTCTTTTTTGGCCAAGAAACAAACCACACCTACCGCTAAAGAGAAGCTATCTGCAAAGTATCATTTAACTATTGACTGGAAAAGAGTTTACTTATTATCTTTCCGCACCACATTAGAAACAAAACATAGGGAATTTCAGTTCAAAATACTAAACTATATCGTATTTACCAAATGAGAAACTTTTTCGTTTTGGTATGGCTGAATCAGATAAATGTGTTTTCTGCCAAACTAAGGTCGAATCCATCGAGCATTTACTTTTTTCCTACAAAATATCCACTGTTTTTTGGAAACACGTCTTGTCCTGGCTAAGAGACTAAAACATTATTGTTGAGAATTTAAAAGAAGAGGATATAATCTAGTGATCTAAATAACAATTACAAATTGTACATAAATATAAAGATAAGTACTTTCTATCAACTTAGATATTGTCTGCTGTAATAGTTTTTTCTTTTTTTGTCTTTTGGTTTCGTTTTGTTTTGTTTGTTTGTTTGCTTTTCCTTTTTACTTTAAGTGTACTCTGTAAAATGAAAACTTCAAATAATTAATGGATTACAATTAATAGATTACAGATTATATATATTTACGTTTCATTTTTAATTCAAACACAGACTTAATTACTTCTATGGGAGGTTATTTGCTTATTGTCACACTTTAAGTTCTTGGTGTCGCCTTTTAAGTAGTAGGTCTAGAACGCTTATAATTCGGCTTTTATCGATTTTAAGGTTTTTTGTATATTGTTGTCATAGTGATATCGATTTTACTTAAACTGCATTTTGACAATCTTCAATCCAAAGTCAGTCAGTGCTAAAAATTTCATAATGATCGGACGAGAATAAAGTGAAATCACTTTTAAGGTGATCGAGAAATCTTGGTATGGTCTCCGAAAAAACTCTATCTAAACACCTTTTAATTATTTTTTTTGCCGGTCAAGAATTTTGCAGCAATGTTGGTCAGTCTCTATCTGTGCCCACATAAGTGTCTAACTAACTCACTCTTCCCATCCTTGTTGTGCTATCTTTTGACTCAAATATTCGATTTGCGTACTTCCGCACCAAAGGTGCACGTGAGAGAGTATATTTTCCAGCCACATTTTTTTTGTATTTTATAGCCTGATTTGCTGGAACTCCTTCCTTGTTTTTTGTGAATATCACGAAAGATAATCCCCCTTAACGCAAAAACGTTCCGTTACGTGAGAGCATAAGCATGTATACTTCGATTTATTGGCTTATCTGTTGAAGAAACTGCTAAAAAACTGGAAAAATTCGAATGTTGGGTGATTAAATGATCATGGAGAAATGAAGCTTTTAAAGGCAAGAAACGAAGAAAAAGACCACAAGTCCTGACTAAAGCAGCTAAAACAGTTTTAAAGAAGGCTAGATACAAAATAGGAGACTCGACGAGGAAGCTCTCACATAGTTAGCAAGAAAAGTCTAGAAAGGATCATGGAAAGCTGTTTAAAATGTTTAAAATTACTAATTAAAAATTAGAGGCCCCTGAGATGGCAAAAAATCCTCTGCTTAATCTGCCAAGTAACGCCCAGCTCATCTCAAATTTGTAAAGAAGTACAAAAGCCTTGCTGTGGAAGGGGGCTGGGATGATTATCTTTTTCGGATGAATGCCCAAAATATATTTTTGTTCCGCTGCCTAAACTAAACAAATATTGTTTGGGGGCTAAACTGGCTGCTGCGCAGCAGGTGATAAAAAAGCTCATGGAAGAGGAACGAAAGTCGTTTGTACGGCGCTACAGTTGGTAGGTTGGGGACCCACAGAAAGTCCCCAACCTACCAACTGTCTAAATACTTAACTAACGTACTGAAACCGCTGACTGACGAATCTAGACACAAACTACAGTCTACTGAGAATTTTACTCACGCCATTAAGACAATACAGACACCGGACGACCACAAACTAGTGTCCTTTGACGTGAATTCCCTGTTCACCATTATTCCACTTCAACTGGCTCTAGACTGTACTGAGAACGCTATTAAGAACTCTACTGTTGAACTACCACTACCTACAGACGACATCATAGACCTACTCAACCTCTGTTTGACTTCGACGTACTTTCAGTGCAACGGCAAACACTACAAACAGTTACACGGTACAGCTATGGGCTCTCCAGTTTCTTTTGTTGTAGCAGAAATGGTCATGCAAAACATCGAGGAACAAGCCCTAGCTACCAACACGCGAACTGTACCTCTTTGGTTACGTTACGTTGACGACACATTCTCTGCCGTACACAAAGACGGAATCGACGATTTCACCGAACTCCTTAACAGACAGAACGCGGACATAAAGTTCACCAAGGAGATCGAAGAAAATGGCAAAATACCTTTTCTAGACTGCTTGGTCACTCGCGACAACAACAAACTAAAAACGACTATTAACAGAAAACCGACACATACCGACCGATTACTAGACCAGTTTTCGTACAACCAGACCTCTCACAAGGCTACTACTATCCGGACTCTGATGAGACGAGCGCAACTAGTTTGCGACTCACCTGACAGCCTACAAGACGCGACTGATTATCTTAACAACGTTTTTAGTAAGAACAATTACAACACGGACTTTGTTAGACGAACACTCACAGTAACACTGATTCCAACACTCAGACCAACTCTGGCCCTGTTACGACAGCGACTATACCTTACATCAGAGGCACCTCTGAAACTATTGCATGTATATTACAACCTTACAATATACGTGTCGCACACAAACCGATAACCACTTTACGGCGACTGCTTACTAATGTCAAGGACAAAGACAAACCGGACGACAGACAGGGAGCAGTATACAAGATCAAATGCTGCGACTGCCATGCTTCTTACATTGGTGAAACAGGCAGAAACCTAAGCACGCGACTGACCGAACACAAACGCGCGACAAGGAATGATGACGTCCACAATCACATTGAAGAGCACCATTTAAAGAGAAAACATCAAATTAACTGGGACTCTGCGACATGTATAACGTATTCTGCAGACTACTATCAACGTCTTACTTTAGAAAGCTGGTTTACTAACTTAGAACAAACGCCACTGAATCGTAGCCAACAGTTACCAGCGCCTTACAAACGACTTTTTGACGAGATAAAGCAAAACTAACTACGAGACAAATACTGAAGAACTGACAATTTGACTAACAATAGACGACTGTTTAACTGCGACAATAGACGGATCGAAACGCACCAATTACTGTTTACGAGTCTTCATAGCCAATAACACCACGGCTTAACTGACAGACCACCAATAACATCGCGACGTAATTGACCAATCAGATCAATAACCAGAGTATAATACCATCAACTGACGTGATACAACTCACTTTGACTCTGAAGATGACTACCGCACAGGTTGTCGAAACGTCAGTCACTGTTAACAACAACAGTCCTATTCAGGACTCCGTTCACCCGGACGATCCTACTCAACCTACTTTTGAAATGACTCCTGGGTTCAAACCTTTTACAAAAATTCACAAGAAACCCAAAATTCAACTCTGGTGACCCAATCAACAGAAGTTTCTCAACTCCCACAGACGAATACGACCGCAAGTTCTGGCACAAAGGGCGCAGTTTTGCTGCAAACTGCTTTAGCGATTGCAAGAAACGAAGATAGTACAAAATCAACAAGAGTTAAGATCTTATTTGACAATGGAAGTCAGAGATCTTATGTAACTGATAACCTCAAGTCTGTAATTGCTGAAATTCTGGAGGTCGCGAATAATCCAAATCTCAACAAAAACAGGGGTAGCACGGTGCGAGGCGATAGATGATTCGAACTCCACGTGATAGAATATCAAAGCAGATTTAATGACAGATCCTTAGAGTTCATAACAATAGTAGTCGCATGTACAGCAATTCAATGTAATAGCAATGTTCGTAGCCTAGTTACGACGTAACAAAATGTAGACGTAGACGTAGCTAAACGTAGACGTAGCTAGACGTAGATGTAGGTTCGAACTGAAAGCGATAATTAAAGAATACGAACTACTTAGATTAACCATAAAATTAGGACTAAAGGGTAGAATAATCTAAACGACATAAAACTATGATGCAAGAGGCAGACAACTGAAAAATCCGATAATTGATACTTGAGCTAATTAACCGAGACAATGAACATTTAACTCTCAGCGTGAATAAAACAATCAAAAAACTATATCGTAGCGACTCCGCTTGAACAGGACTTATCTTAAAAACACTAAACTAGATTATATAAAATACTTGGTAACAGTAACAATAATCAATCCTGTTTGATTCCAGTAGATTTGTCTTCAAATCAATGTCCTTCTCATGAGATAGCGTAAAGACTTGATAGTTCCAAGAATTACAGTACTAAATAACTATAAGAAAATAAAAGACTTACTTTGGTCGACGACTCGCACCAAAGTAGCAAAAAATAGCAATCTAGCAGCAGCAAAATATCTTCTGACAGCAACTCCAATGATAGCGGGATAACTTATAATTTCTAGTACTGCGTTGCCTCTTTTATAATAGAGTATACGTGTATTATGCCTAGGGCGTTAACTAAGTAAAACTGTACCTACGCTTTACGCGTTTCCTAGCGGAAAGTACCGCACCATGACATAAGCGTGAAAACCTACGAAGTGTTTCTAGAAAGATTGATATAATCACGTTTTATAACCTAAAAATAAAACTGTCTTAAAGCAACTAAAAAATATTATAAGGCAAATCAACAAAAAGGCGTTTCAAAACTAACAAAGTCAAGGCTGGGTCTGAAATCCACTAAAAAGGAAATGTTTCACCTCAATACATTTGAAGAAAAAACCTTTCGAAAAGAAAGGTGCGAGGTTTTAACCTTGTTTCTTGAGGACATTAACGGAGAAACGCCGAGAGTTTGTGTGCTTAGTTTCCCTACTGTTTGTTCACCACTTCCGTCACGAGTAGACGCGAACAATTACTCACATTTTCATGGACTCAAATTGGCTGATTACTTCGATTCCGAAGACTCGATAGGTGTTCTCA